CTATGCTACGGGTTTCTCTGTGAGGAAGTTCCTTAAGGTCATGCTGCTCCTGTGGGCAACCTCCCAGCCATACTCCTGTGGGCAACCTCCTGTCCATATTCCTGTGGGCAACATTCTGGGAGCAACCAGAAGTTGTTCAACCAATAAGCTGGTTGATTCCAAGTTGGACTTGGATGGAATTCTTCTTTTACCTATCATCGGTGCCGCACCCTTTCTAGAATGACTAGGCATGTGTGTCATGTTTCCACAAGGAAAGAATCTCACAACAGACACAAAGTCATGTATGCCTGCTTCTCCTTTTTAAAGCTTTCTGGTTTGAATGAAGGGGTGTCTAATTTGTCAGCCTTGATCTGTCTTTGTTTCTTTTTGCCTTTCTTTCTTTCTTTCTTTCTTTCTTTCTTTCTTTCTTTCTTTCTTTCTTTCTTTCTTTCTTTCTAGACAGACTCTCATGCATTCTCAGCTGGCTTCAAACTTAGTATGTAGCTGAAATGACCTTGAATTTTTTGACCCTTCTGTCTCCATCTCCTGATTGCTGAGATTACAGGGGACCACCCTTTGTGCCTTGCTGGGGATTGAACACAACACTTCATGTATGCTGGACCAGATCTCTACCAACCGAGCTACATTCCCAGCTCAGCTATGACAATGGATACGAAGGCTCTTTGTTTGTAAGGGCTGCGTAAGCATTGTCACGCATGTAGGGCCCTGGATGTTAGAGATTTCTTCCAGAACCAACCCTCAGGAGGTAGGTGGTAGAAAGTCTTTGCCAATTCAACAAGCTGAGAAATGAAGTCCTTGGCTTGGCAGCCCCAAAGGCTGATAAGCTGAGAGAGAGAGAGAGAGAGAGAGAGAGAGAGAGAGAGAGAGAGAGAGTGATTCTGATATTCTCTAAAGGTATGTCTTCTTCATCATTTAAAAAATACTTAGTTCCATTATAGCAATAATTCAAGCACTGAACTGTCCTGGTCACTTTGTAGTCACTGTGATAAATATTAGATTTCACCTTAGAACTCCCAGATCCTTCCATCCTTCAAAGGGAGTCAGGGCGGAAGCTCAGGTCAGGACCATGGAGGAACACGGCTTGCCTGGAAGGCGCTACAGAGGAAGGCGTGATGTCAGCCTCTAGTCTCCAGATGAGGACAGCAGCACACACAACAAGGGAAAGTTAGTCACCCCATCACAAGTACAGACGGGTCTATGGATATCCTGCCTTCTACCCCACTGTCATTAAATATTTTGTGTCACGTGTTACTCAGAATCATGACTGTTACAAACAGTCTTGGCTAGCAGGACAGTTTGCTGGGAACCCTGCTGTCCTGGCCCTTGGCTGCGCATCCTCGTGCAGTGACCCAGCTTGTCCTCAGGAGGGAGCACTCTGATGAAGCGTTCATGGTGACACTGAAGGGAAATGATCCATTGTATGGTTTCCTTTTCCTCCCGCTCCCACCTATGACTTCCCTCCAGAGCCACAGCATTTTACAGCAACGGTGACTCGCTGCAGCCCCACCGTGGCCTTTGTGGAGTTCTCCCCCAGCGCACAGCTGAAGAACGAGGTGCCAGAAGAACGAGACCAGAAGAAGCCAGAAAATGAGATGAGTGGGAAGGTGGAGTTAGTGCTGTCACAGAAGGTGAGGACACAGCGGAGTGGAGAGTTAAATCCACAGGTTGACGTGGCTTCCGGGGGCGGCCAGCAGTCACAAGGGCTGACGGTCTCACCCGATCGTTTATCCTGTCTTCTGTGCATGTTCATTGTTAAACATCACACACACACACACACACACACACACACACACACACGTTATAAAGAGATGCCAAAACCAAGGCAACTTATAAATGAAAACATTTAATTGGGGGATTGCTTAGAGTTTCAGGGGATGAGTCCATTTTCATCATGGTAAGAAGTGTGACATCAGACAGGCAGGCAGGGTGCCGGAGCAGTAATTAAAAGCTAATATCTGATCCACAAGCAGAAAACAGAGGGAGACAAAAGACAGACAGACAGACAGACAGACAGACAGACATAGAGAGAGACTGGGCCTACTATGCGCTTTTGAAACCTCAAAGCCCACCCCAAGTGATATCCCCTTCTTCAAAAAGGCCACAACTCCTGATCCTTCCCCAAACCATTCCACAGATGAAGGAAAAAGCATTGAAATATATGAGCCTACAGGGGACATTCTTATTCACACCACCACTGTATATGGAGAGAGAAGGGGAAATACAGATATTTGCATTATGAATATATCAAATGCCTTAGCACACACAAACACATTTGTTACATATACAGACAGTAGGATGAGTGAGGGGTTTCAGGACAGGCTCCAAAGCTACAGAGAAACCCTGTCTCGAAAAACCAGAAAAACAAAAAAAAGCACTTTCAAGGGTTCTCGGGTTGTTTATCTGTTTTGTTTGTTCTCTATCATAAACCTTTTGTCTAGTTAGTAAACATGAGTCTCAGAATCATATTAAAGCATAAAGTATCCAGAATTCCCAGGTTTTTCTTGGTAGCAAATGCTACTATATCCCCACCTTTAAAATTCTGTGCTGTTGACTACAGGTTTGGAAGCTCTAGTGGTTGGTTAGCAAATAGAATAGCAGTTTCCCCACACACCCCATCTGTGGCCCTCTCCCCTCTCTCTCTCCCCGTCTTAGATAATGGTGATCACCATGCTTGCAACAGCTTTGATTTTCAATTTCACTTGGGGAATGTCACCTTTGTAAAAGCAAAGCACCAGATTGGCATTTCTGCTATGTTTAATTCTTTCATTTGCAACCAGCTCTTCTCTGAACCTCCTTGTCAGTCTACACCATTCAAGAAGTAGTTTCTCTGAGCTTAAGGCTCGAGGGTTGTCAGGGCCAGGGAGGTGGCTCAAAGGTTAAGAGATCGGTTCCCAGCACCTATATCAGGTGGGTCACAGACAGCCATAACTCCATCTCTAGGGAGACCCAATACCACTGGCCTTTGTGGGTACTTGTTACACTCACATGCTCATACTATCATACAGAGAGAGAGAGAGACAGACAGAGAGACAGAGAGAGAGACAGAGACAGAGAGAGAGACAGAGAGAGACAGAGAGAGTAATAAGTAAAAATAAATATTTAGAAAAGTAAAACTAGCATGTTGTGAACTTTGATACAACCAGACCTTAAGTATTTGTTGTATGTTAAATGCTGAAGTCTATACAGCTGTCTGGTTGACCACAGCAATGCTGACCAATGTGACTGATTCTATTTCCTTCGAGCTTCTCTTAGGATTGAATATATTCTTAATAAAGAAAAATAAAATGCAACAGAGAAGGAGTAAATGTTGCCGAGCCAACAGCTACAAGTTAGAGTTAAGTCCTGTAAGAGGCAAAATGGACTAAACCCAAACAGCTGCCTTCCGCACTCAGATTCAGGAGTTGGTGGCTCTTATCTTAGGCACTGTTGAAATATTTGGCATTCTGTCTCTGGCAGTAAATTGATTGGAAGCAATAGGACAGCAAGAGGGAGCTTCGACTCTAGAAGAGTCTTCAGACTTGGAGGAAACAAATAAAATTAAATAGCAATGATATTTTAAAAATCTTAAAGCAAACACGAGAATTTTTAAAGCATAAAAGGTCATCTAATGTACCTCAAAACTGGAAGGACCCCTGTGCTGGCACTAGCTGTTTTGGCAATGCATCTTATACGGGCAAAGTATATGTGTGTTGCATAACTTTGTGGGAGAGTAGAGTACTGTGTCTTCAGAATAATGTCCATTAAAAGTGGATTACTATAATGCTTAGCCTTACAGCTAGGACTGTGTAGTACGACCTTGCCCCCCCCCAAAAAAGGTGGAGAAGGGGAAAAGCTCCAATGTCTTCTGAGGTTGAAGAAAGGGGATCACCACATTCTTATGCCTTTACTTAATTTCTAGAGAAATATCAACCACCTTATTGATTCAGTAAAGTGTGAAAAAAATCTTTAGGGAAAGAAAAATTGTATTACAAAATTAAATGTTTAAGCTCACCGGCTTGTTTAAATAGTCATAGTGTAAAATCGAGCTGCAGGTTAATTGATGGACAGTCTGTCTAGTGTTTGTGTCTGTTGCTGTGTTTCAGGTAGCAAAGCCAAAATCCCCAGAGCCAGAAGCAACCTTGACGTTTCCTTTTCTCAACAAAATGCCTGAAACCAACCAACTGCACTTGCCAAATCTCGATTCTCAAGGTAAGGAGGGGAAAAGTGTTCTCTTAGATCTTCCTAGTCTGCTGGGCCCACCTGTGGGAAAATGCACCTCCCAGGGATAGCTGGTAGCATCCTTCACGTGATGTCCCTGTAGCCACATTCCTCACCAGAGTCTGTGAATTGAGAATTTCAGATGGGAAAGCTGAGAGGAACGTTCAATTTGACACCAGGAACCCTGCCATGAAGACCACCTTGTCAGCTAGGCATTGTGGGTACAACAGGGCCTGATAGTATTGAGACCTTCAAACATGTTTTGTCTTGGCTCCAAAACATGATAATTAAAAATAAAAACTCAATTTGTTTTTTAAAAAATCTAATATTATATGAGCTTCATTATTAATTCCAGTCTATAAAAATACCCATTTTACTTATTATTAACTTTGGGGAAAGTGAGAGTTTTTGTTCTTTTTGTTTGACCTAAGTCTTGGGTATACACAATGATTAGTGTAGTCACTCAACCAAAATTTTACTCTTTCAGAAAATTCTTCATGACTAGGTAGTGGGGGGTGCATGCTTCTAATCCCAGCACTCGGGAGGCAAAGACAGGTGGATATCTGAGTTCAAGGCCAGTTTGGTCCACAGAGGAAGTTTCAGAACAGCCAGGGGGACAAAGAGAAACCCTGTCTCAAAAAAAAAAAAAACAAAAAAAAACAAAAAAAAAACAAATAAAAATCTTCATAATAAAAACATTTAATATTTCAAAAATGAAAAGAATAAAATGCATGAAACATTTAAAGATACATCTTCAGTATGTGTGTAATAACACATGCACACTACGGATATGTTTTAATATGTTTAACACATAACATACTTTGGATACATTTTAATGTGTTTTGTATATTTGCTATGTTTTAATGTTTGATATAATGTAAGAAGGTAACTTTGAGAAATATGGTAGTTGAGGATCTGTGAAGGACTTAAACTTGTTCTGGCTCCCACTTTGTGGACCATATATGAGTTCTGAACTCACCCTTTGGGTCTTGAAGAACCCAACTTTATGCCCTTAGCCTCGTGAGAAACCCAAGTGCCCACACCACAAGGAAGGACCTTAGGATTGTGAAGTGGGGAATATGGCATTCGGAGAATGCTACCATCCTTGGTGATTATTCCTCCAAGTGGTCCACCTAAGGCTGCACCACTGCAAACTCTCTAGGTTGGCAACAGCTAGGGTGGGAGGTAGGACCATAAGGCTCCGTGTGCTTCTTCAGCATTTTTCTCCAGTGTGTTTCATAGAGCTGTCAGAGAAGATGGTATGATGTCATTATTCATGACTTATTATTGCCTCTCTTTTAAAGAGTGAGAAGCTATTTGGGGTCACCATTAACACCATCTGAGTTGGTTGTCTCCCTTAGCTTTCATTGATTGCTTTGCCAGCTGTATGCAGAACAAAGCGCACTCGGTAGGAAGCTAAGTGGTGCACATACTAGTGGGTATTTGTCTCTTAAGGGAGAGGCAGATGCAGTACCACCTCCAAAACATTTGACCCAAACTTTTCAGCCTTACAGTCCTGAAAATAATTAATAAAAATTAAATCTCACAACTGGGTCAGCCAATTGGCAATATTTAGACATGGTAATTATGTTCCATTTCTAGCACTTTCTAACTAGTAGGTAAGAACTATAGTTAGGTTAACTATGTCAGCCCTCACCAATTAATCCTGATGCCTACTATTTATATTTTTCATCCCCCATTAAATGCAAGGCATTTTGGTTTTGAGAAATTGCTATTGAATTAAGGAACTTTATTTCATATTTTATCCAAGTTTAATGGTTTAAAAAATAAAAATTTATAGCACTGGAGTATTTTTAAAGGTAATTTCTCAAAGAAGAACTGGGTTTGGAGACCCTTATTCTGTTAGGACGTGTGGTTCATGAGCTCTGTGATCCTAAGTGTGAGGGCTGGGAGTCAAACACCTGGGTTTAAAGCCTCCCTCATCACGTTCTGAGCTGCAGAGTTCCCCCTTATAGTTTTCCCCAGGGGCAAACTATCACCTGCCAAGGAGACATTACCATCTACCAGTTTTTAAGAGAGTAGAATTATAATGATGGGAGTGAAAGTATAGAGCCAGGTGCTAGGCAGAAAGAATAAACTTTTTTAGAATGCTTTTCTAAAGGAGAAAAAACATTAACAGGAGAGCAACACAGCTTGAAGCAGCAGTTCTCAGACATGAGTGTGTACCCGAGCCTGCGGGGCTGGGACTAAACCTTCAGTGTCCGGTTCTGTAGATCTGGCCAGAGATCTTCTGTACTTCTAGCAAGACCATGCGTCCAGGCAGCCCAGGAATCCCAGCCTGGAAGCCACTGACTTGAAGTAGTTATGTAAATGGTGCCTCAAAGACATTGCTGCTGGGCATGAAACTGACTGTATGATTATTTAGACTCTACAGAATGATCTTTCTAGATGCCAGGGGCCTCTGATGAATGCAATCTATGAAGACATGGTTGCATTTGATTGGACTGTGGTGGGAGAAGCCGTGGCTTATGACCCAGGTCTAAGAATTTGGTACACCCTTAAGCGACGGGCTTGAATTCCATCATCCAGTCCAAAAGAACCAGGAGCCCTAGAGCCACACCTCATAAATTCTCTCTCCCACAGAAATTAGTGTCTCCCCAGTTTCTTTGAAATCATCTATTTATAGATGCTCACACAGGCCACTGCAGATCTGCCTGTCAGCCCGAATAAGATTCCACAGGCGCCCCCAAACACACACATGTGCATCAATACAGCCTTTCAACGCTCTGGAAACATTCCTAAAATACAGTTAAAGCTGGCGGGTTTCCTTTATCCAGCCCTCTGGAAACAGTAAAGTTATGCCAAAGTTATGTTTCTATAAAACACAGGCTTTGACCTGCGGTGTTTGTTGCTCTGAGAATTCGCATGGCAGAGCCCAATGCATAAGGTGCAAATGCTTGCCAGGAGTCGTGCGTGCTTGGCACACTGCACGCTGTCACAGCCATGTACCTGTCTATATGTGTGACAGGAAAACAGCCGCATCCTCGCCCCTTCATCAGGTGTGATGTGGATAGCATCATCCATCCCACTGTCCATCTCTCCTGCCCTTTTATTCTTCCCTAAAGTTGCCCCTGCACAGTGTGCCGCTGTGTCATCATGACCTTTAACCGTTAAACAATATCCCCGCTAAGTATGGGCCCAAAACCTTTCCCTCAGCACCTCCGCAGCTGAAACGCAGGCCGCCCACTGTCTGTATCGTCGGGTTTTACATGTGTTCCCGTGATCTGTCTCACGTTGGGTTGCGAGTCGTTCAGTTCCTGGCTCAACTAGAGCTGCCCCTTCTTTGACGTGTGGGGATGTGTTCTCAGGTTCTCGCCCGGTTTCACGGATTTCTGTTTGTTCTATTTTGCCATCTGATCTAGAGGTGCCTAGCAGTGCCCGCGTTCCGCTGAGAGTTCAGAACTCTTGGCTACGGTCCCAGTTTTTCTCCCAGTCAGGTAAACAGCATACTGGGTAGCTGCATCTCTTACATGTAAAGATTCATGTTGGGGGCCACCAATGGTGTCTGTCATCCGTCTTCGTTTCCGATTTAAGATACTTAAAAGAAAAAAAAAAAGATGCTTGTTTGTGACACACAGTTAGCAATGAGCTTGTTCTTTGGTATCAATCAGCACGGTCGTACTAAAATCGGGAGGCTTCCACAGAGCTTTATATTGATTTCTGAGACGCCAGAGAAGTAACACCACCCACCTGGCTCTTTACCATCCACTTCCTCTGAAATCAGATGAGAAGCATTGGCCACAGATGTGGTGTTCTCTTGTTAACTGTGTCACTCGCTCTTCTTCCTGGATGGCATCGGCCTCTCTGTGTCGTACTTCTCCGTGTCAGACAGTGGGGACCTGCTCTGTTCACCAGAATGCAGGGTGTACTAAGAGCCGGCACTAATAGCTGTAGTCGTCGCTTCCTAGAGTCTAGTACCTGGCGCTGCTTGGTGGGTCACACTCTCAGTCCTCTTGGTGATGGGCACAACCTGCCAGGCTCTGCTCTACTGTGATTTCCTAATACTGCCCAAGTTAACCTAGGAGCCACCCTCCACTGAGAGGAGCAAAAGACCAGCACAGCCAGAAGCCACCCACACTGATGCCTTCTTTTCTGTCTTTTTACTCTGTGTAGCGGATTCTCCGAGCAGCGAGAAGTCTCCTGTAACCACACCCGTAAGTAGTCCCCCTTAAAGAACCAGCTTGTGCGTTTGGAGTGCTTTTAACTTATGTTTGATTTTCTTAAAGAGTATTCAATCAAAACTGAGATCCAAAAAGTTTTTACTTTGAAACAATTTGATGCTTTCTGGTACCAAGATTGTATATCACTATATAAAGGAGTTATCCTGTCCTGCCTGGAAACCAAATGCTGACGTCTTTGTATCCTTGAGCCCGGGTTTACTAGCCGCAGGACACTGGAGGTGGTTTATAAATCCTCCCTGTTTAATCTTCCTTGACTGCACAGTGAGATGCAAGTAGCTTTCTTTTGGGGTGATGGGAAGCCTTACTTGGCATCATCATACAGATGCTGCTATATGGTGCCTGATACAGGAATGCTCCCTCCCTCTCCAGTGACCAGTCCAAGATGCTCCCTTTGTGGCCATGTAGAATGGACCACCGCTTGTCACATACCCTTGATCTCTCCAACCACGTCTCAGAACTAGGAACCATATGTGAAAGTTCAGTCATAAACCAACAGTGGTAATCCCGGGTTTCCTGGAAGTTAAGGACCCCAGAATGTCTGTAAAGCAGGCATCACCACACATAGCCGAAGAGGATGGTGCAAGCCATTGACTTCCAAGGTTGTCAAACTATTCATGTGCCCCTGGGTGGGGATGGAGAGGAAAAGTCACTGCAAAACAAAAAGATACTGTCATTTCCTGTTGGGGAAAGTAGAACACGTGAGAGAATCCATAGATTCAGGTAGAAAATCCAGCTGTGTTCTTGTTTGTTCTCCACCTTGCTAAAAACCTTCTCTAAAGCTTTTATTACCAGTCGTGGGTTTGCGTATTTAGTATGCTGGCCTCAGGGCTGGGGCTCCACCCATCTTGCTCTTAACCCACTTTGGGAAAGCCGTAGTGGTGAAAGGGGCTCACTTCAGGTACAAAAGACCCTAGTTTTTAGACGATACCCTCCTGGTATAAGCCAGAATCAGCATGGGCAACAAGCACCATGCCCAGGAGCTCGGGTGCTTCCGAGACTCCTCATGCCCCCGAGAGACATGGAGCAAAGCCTTCTCATTCCTGTGGTTAGGCACTGTGTTTCTGTTAACCCATAAAGAAGCACAAAGGCATAGAAGCAGCCCGACAGCTTGGAATCAAAGTAAAAAGGGATTATGTTTGGAAATGGTTTCTGCCTCCAAAGAGGACATTTAGCTGTGTGAAAATTTGTTTTCTGTGTCCCTTGGGTACCATATTGGAGGCTCATTGTCTTCTTGCCCTGGCAAGGCATCCAGTTCTGATCGTGGGGTTGCTTTCTTTGTTTTTGCTGAGCAGTTTAAGTTCTGGGCATGGGACCCGGAAGAGGAGCGTAGGCGGCAGGAGAAATGGCAGCAGGAACAAGAGCGTCTGCTCCAGGTAGGCCCAGCCTGCTGGTTTCCCCGCGTTCAGTAACTGTGTGCTTGCCATGGCTGTTGCATTGAATAGACTTTTAGCACAGGGAACATGGAATCCAGTTCTCAGAAACTCAAGAGTTTGACTATGCTCTGTGTCCAGGCAACCAAATCTTGTACCTCATTGTTCCTGCTAACAGTGACGAGAAGTAGTGGGGGAAAAATACTCACATTAAGTACTTCAAAAAATTATATATCTCTATATACAGTCTACCTGTATTCATTACCTCCTTAGTCACCAGTTCTCAGTTCAAGAAGCAGTGAGAACAAATTGCCAAAAAAACATTCTATCGCATTAGGTAGAATAAAATTTGACATCAGTCTAATTCCTTTAATAGAATTACCGTTCCATTTTTTCAGTGAAAACTGATAATGGCCCATTCTAGAAATATTCCGAGACAAAATGTAGCGCGCTTCCATTGGCTTCCTGCCTGCAGTGACCTAATGACCTTTGAACCTGACCTATTTGTATCCTTGGGGTGTGCCGGGAACACATCTGAATAGCCCATGTTTAGTTGAAAAGGCGAAGGCTCACAGATGTTGCGTTAACCGCCCAGTATCACATGGTTGATAGATGCAGGGCCTGGACCCAAGCCTAAGTCTCTACAACGCTGAAACCTGTGCTGTTTCTGCTACACGCCCAGAAGCTCACATGGAGAAGTAGTGGAAACCTCGTTGAATTTGATGGTTCCTGCTACTCTAGAACTGAAGTGCAATGTGATTTATTCTCCTTTCTCTTCATATTTTGTCCTAACCCTTTGCCCTGATTCCCATGGGTAAGGGAGTGGGCTCAATGGTAAAAATCAACTATTTGGATTTAGCTCTGCAGTTCAGTTAGGTGCCTTTGAAAAGTTCAAAGGGCTAGGGCCTTGATGACTTAAACGGGTAGTAAGACCCTCTGGATTCCCATCCTAAATCTTTACAGTATCCTGGAGTGAGGGGTCATTTGTTTTGTTTTTTTGGAATTGGCTTTCGTTTCTTTTGTGTGTTTGTTTTTTGAGAATCACTAGATAACCCTGCCTGGTCTGGAATTTGCAGAGACCCTGCTGTCTCTCTCCTGAGCACTGGGATTACAGGCATGCAGCACCATGCCCAGCTTCTGCACTATTTGGTTCTAATAATAAGTTTCACTTGTATCTACGGCTTCTGCCATGGGTTGGCCAGTAGTGATCTAATAGAATCAGCAAGAGCTTTTTGCACCTAAGTCGTGACATAACAGCTGCTCTCTGGGGACACCTCAGTGTCGTCGTCCCCCTCCAGAGAGACACACGGGCCTGTCCTAGCCCCAGACAACGACAGTAGCAGGGTCAGGTGTTGGAACATGTGTGCACAAGCACATGTCTCCTTTGTCTATGACGACACCATTTTTGAGGTTTTCACAGGATTAATTCTCATTTCAAACACCGATTTTTTTTATCTTCACATACTGTTTTATTTTCTGGTGAGCTGTCAGAGACTTCCTGCATATTTTTATATCATTCTTATAAGGAGTGTTTTATTATCTCTCAGAAGTGGTGATGAGTATTGCACCCTTTCTGAGCACAGGGATGGAAGCTCTCACGCCAAAGCACTGTGATGAGCGGTTAAAAGGCTCTCTCTCTTTTTTTTTTTAATATTTATTTATTTATTATGTATACAATATTCTGTCTGTGTGTATGCCTGAAGGCCAGAAGAGGGCACCAGACCTCATTTGGTTGTGAGCCATCATGTGGTTGCTGGGAATGGAACTCAGGACCTTTGGAAGAGCAGGCAATACTCTTAACCACTGAGCCATCTCTCCAGCCCTAAAAGGCTCTCTTGATTAAAGTTGCTGTGAACTGGGCCTGGAAGGCCTTATCTCGTTGCCGTGGCGATACGCAGAGTCCTTCTGCCTCTCAGCTGCTGCTTGTCTGGAGTGCTTTGGACTTTTCTGCCCTGCCTTTCTTATAAACTTAGTAGGTTTTTATAACCTTTTATTAAACTTCCTTGCCAGCAGTGTTGGCTGATTTGGGCTTTGATTGGTTGGTATTTACAGGGGTGGGGTTCAAACCCAGACCATGGAAAGAGCTAAGCAACTATTTCCCTGGCCCAGCAAAAATATTTCTGTTGGTGAAATAGCAAAACTCACCTCTGAGAGGCTCAGCTGAAGTAGACTCTGTGTGCAGCCTACTTAGGAGCTCCCAAGCTAAAGGAGAGTGTTGCTTGTTGATTTTTTCATCCTTCATGAACAATTGTCTATCTGAAGAGAAATTCTGAAAAACACGACAGCAGAAATCTGGCTTCCCGTGGGATGATTTTAAATGTCCGTGTTAATTAATTTTCTCTTGCTGCAATAAAAAAAAATGCCCTGACAAAAAGCAAGTTAGGAAGAAAGGTTTGTTTTGGCTGACAGCTGCAGAGCGCTCCAGTCTGTCACCGTGGGGAAGGCACGGCAGTGGGAGCCGGAGGCCTGGCTGGCAGTGAGGAAGCCAAGTGGTCACCTTTCATTCACACAGTAGAAGCAGAGAGAGAAGAGGAAGGGAGATTGGGCTATAAAACCTCAGAGCCCAACCCCAGTGACATACTTCCTCTGGCCAAGCTTCACATCCTAAAGCTTCCCAAACGGTACCACTAAGTGGGACCAAGTGCCCAGACACACGAGCCAATGGGAGGCGTTCCTCATTCAAACCACCACGTGTACCTGACTTGTACCTAATACCCAGCATCTCTTTCTACGGTGTGCATGCATGAGATTCCAATGTTCTATCACGAAGAGTATCTTGTAATGTGTTGTGCATGGTGCTTTAGAAGAGGGGGGGAGGACACCCCAGCGATGGGGTACGGTGGTCACTCCCAAATGTTCTGTGGACATCCCATGACAGGAGAGGTACCAGAAGGAACAAGATAAGTTGAAGGAAGAGTGGGAAAAGGCCCAAAAGGAGGTGGAAGAAGAAGAACGCAGGTACTACGAGGAGGTAGGAAATTGCCAAGAAGAATGTGGCTTCGTCAGCACAGTCCCTTTAGTCTGTCACCTCCCTTTGTGTCTGCAGTGCACGCTGGTTGTGGGTGTGTCTGACTCTTTCCCGCAGCAGGTGTCGCTTCAGTCTCTGGAAAGAGAACCACATCATACGGGTTCTGACAGACCACAGGAACCCTCCACCATGTGGGCTGTAGGAGGAACGGATTGAGCCATGTTTAAGAAGCCGCTGTAATCACATCAATATCTGATTCTTCATCTATGTTAGATAACATAAAAACAGCAATATCGGGCTGGAGAGATGGCTCAGTGGTTAAGAGCACTGCCTGTTCTTCCAGAGGTCCTGAGTTCAATTCCTAGCAACCACATGCTGGCTCACAACCATCCGTAAGGAGATCTCATGCCCTCTTCTGACCTGCATACATAATAAATAAGTCTTAAAAATAATAGTAATAATAAAAAGCCAGGTAGTGGTGGCACACGTCTTTAATCCCAGCACTTGGGAGGCAGAGGCAAGTAGATCTCTGTGAGTTTGAGGACAGCCTTGTCTACAAAGCGAGTTCCAGGACAGCCATGACTGTTCCCACAGAGAAAACTTGTCTCAAAAAACCAAAAAAAAAAAAAAAAAAAAAAGCAACATCTTTATCTCTGTGTGTACTCACTTACAGTAAGAGTGTTTGTAGTAATGAATTTGTTTTGTAAGATAATTTTAGCATTGAAGCTAAATACATCCTTACTACCGTCTACATTACTACATCAAGCTGGAGGACTTGTAGAGGAGACTTGTGTCCTGGTAATGTTTTAACAGCAGCAACAGAATTTGCAGAGGCCTGTCTAAAGTGTCTGCTGTCTAAAGTTTGTTGTCAATATCGTTGGGAACTTTGCTTTCCGCATAGCTGATTTAGCTGATGAGCTCCACAGTAGTTTTTCTTCACCCTGTTCTAATTAATTAAACGCTAGTTAAACTTGGTGTTTGTAAATTCAATACGAAGTTCTAAACTCCCGCCTACTTGGTGTATTTGATTTGTGTGCTCTGGAAAAATGCGATTTCCTTAATGCCATGCTTTCTTGTATATGTTCTGATGAATCTTCTTTTCCTGGAGTTCCTTAATGTGTCTTTTTCTCTTGACAAACTTTTAAAAACTTTTTTCTTTTTCTTTTTCATTTATCCCTGTCTTTGCCCTAGGAGCGTAAGATAATTGAAGACACGGTGGTCCCGTTCACTCTTTCCTCGAGTTCTGCAGACCAGCTGTCTACTTCCTTGTCTGTCACTGAGGGCAGCGGGACTACGGTAAGATCACTGATGGAAGCCGGGTGTGACATAAGTAACTTAAACCAGGCTTCCCATCACACTTAGTGACTTCACACCAAACCTCGCTGTCCATCCAGAGCCTCGGCAGCTCCTGAGTGGATGCGACACCTCGTGTGTTGTTCCCGCTGTCACCCAGCCCTAGGCAGAGCAGTGGTCCTTGCCCTGGCCAGAACTTCCCAGACAGGCTAGCAGGATCTCCAGTCATAAACCCATGTGCTGGAACCTTCTCTCTGCCTGGCTCAAGCATCACTCTTTTCTTCCACAGCCATGTGCCCCCGTCCCCCGTGTCATGCATCCCTCTGCATGATTGGCAGCAGATTCCCCCCCCCCAGTGCATTCTCCACCAGCTGCTTTAAAACAAGCCCATTACCCTCAAAATTCCACACGAACCTGACATGTCTTTTGGTAGAGAGATCCTGGAAAGGCTGGTCAGCCCCACCTCCCCCAAGTAAGGTGGTGGGGGTATAGATAGAAACATGTTAAATTAAATAACTCATGGCTACCTAAGGCCGTTTGTCCTGAGGTTAGCTGTCCCATGTCTTCATTTTGTTTGAAAAGGGAAGTTTCTTGACCAATCCCTTTTGTGACCATTTTTTAGAAAGATCTCAATGGCACATTTATTCTAAATATTTAGAAATCGTTGATCATTAGTTTAGAAGACTAGTCTTCGAATTGTAGGCAGGGGGACTGACAAACAGGGTTGGGGCAGGAGTAGAAGAGCAGGGTGGCTATAATCAGCACGTTGTATGCATGTCTGCAGTCTTACAGCGACTCTCATTCATTTGTACAAAAAGAACATATTAATCATTTCTTTAAAATTTAGAGCAAAAAATAGAAGAAAAAAATTTCATTATTCAAAGAGAGGAAAGGGGATGGGTTAGGTTTCAGGTAGTCCATGGTCAGATGTAAGCCATTAGGGGGTAGGTTTCAGAGAGTCCGTGCTCAAATATGAAAGTCGTCTAGCGCGTCTAAAAAATATATTCACAAGTGATCCCAATTTTTCTATCAGAATAAAGTGGACTTGGAAAATTCTCAAGACAAAGAAAAAGAGAGAAGACAGAAGATACCTTTCCAGGAGAGCGACAGTGACCAGTTGCTCAAGGCTGGGGAAAGTGGTCCACCCAAGGAGGACAGGTGTGTGCCCATCCAAGACGTGCATGGGAATTCCCACAGCTGGCCTCTGTCATTCCCTCCCAGGAAGGCGGTCCCACTGCTTTAAAATGATCAGTCTAATGGTGAGTTCCATGTGGCTTAAACACACCCCAACAGCGCTGAAGTCAGGGTCCTTGGGCCCTTGGATATATAGACTTATTTTTAAACAGGCAAGGCCATTTGTGGTGACAGGAGAGACAAAAGGATCGTAAATTTGAGGCCAGCCTTGAGTACATAATAAGAGCATATCTCAAAAAAAAATAATTAAATTAAAGAGCTGGAGAGATGGCTCCAAGGATAATGTCGCATACCACTCAAGCCTGCAACCTGAGTTCGATCCCCAGAAAGCACATACAAGTAGGAGAGACCCAACTCCATGGTCATCCTCTGTCCTCCACATGCGTGGGGTGGAGTGAGCACACACATCATCGGTGGGGAATCTTTGTCAACCCATTATCTGTAAGAGGTGGGGACCGAGTTAGGGTGTGGCTGGGTCACCGAGAAAAACAGGTTCATGGCCCGGGTACTCGCTCTCTCTCTCTCTCTCTCTCTCTCTCTCTCTCTCTCTGTCTCTCTCTCTCTCTGTGGTTTCCTCGCAGCACCACTGAGCTTGGACTTCTCATTCCTGTTTCGTGAGTTTGCCCTTTATAATAAATAAAAATATAATTGTTTCATCTTTTAGCTAGCCTGGTTATTTCACAAACTGAATTATGAACACATCATATACATGCATATGATCTAATTTAAATGTTTTCATAGTAGTGTAAAAAATAATAAGGGAGACCTGTTTTAAATAAAGAGAAAAGAAGTTCAAGTCCTGAGGTCCCACCTACCTTGGTTCCACTGTGGACCTGAACTTGGCTGCAGCTGTCCTCACTGAAGTGAGCATGTTTACTCGGAGTGGTCATGTGAAGGATAACCAATTTGTCAGAACCAGTGTGGCTAGTCACTTCATGTGTGCACTCTAGAATGTTCCATGGGAGAGCCAGAACTGAACTCAGAAACCTCAGAGTACACAGAGTACCTGAGACTGGACCCGACTCTGGGCTACAGGTTATCAGTGCTGCCCACCCTTGCCTAACCTGGAAGGAATCTACAGGAACCCCGGGAAGTTGACAGTATCCTGCTTAAGGAAGAGACGCCTGCCTCTGGGGCATGAGATCCCAGATAGGTATCAGCAAGTACGCATGCGTCTGCCAAACGTTCCCAGCATCCCAGAGAGACCCGAGGATGAGAAAGGTTTCTAGGTCGTAGACTGGCCAAGGCAGGGAGCCGAGTTCTGGTGAGGGTTTGCACTGAGTGAGCTGCTAGCAGCAGACACTGAGCACCAAGTCTGACTGGCAGGGCGTGGTCCTCCTGGAAGAGCAGCTCTGTTTCCAGGTAACACTGCTTCCCAGTCTGGGAAATGAGCTGTTGGTCGGGAGATCTGAAGAATCCCAAAACACACCCCAAGTGTGTGTCTGCTAGTTCTCCACACAGGCCTTGCCTGTGAGTTTGCTGTTTGCTTTCTCCAGGCTACTTTAATTGTCACCAGAAATTTTGCCTTTATCTTCTTAAATCTTTCCTTTCCTTGCACACAGAAGTCACTGAAAGGCTGGGGATTAACCAAGGCTGCAGAGATCCCAAGTGACCTCAGTGACTTATGTATCCGTTTGTTTTTAGTAGTATATTACTTTGCAGCCAAGGCTGGCCTTGAACTCATGATCCTTCTGCCTCTGCCTCCTGAGTGCTGGGATTACATGTGTGCTTCACCATGCCTGACTTCCAAGTGAAACCTATAATAATTGCTCTCTTGTGAAAATCTGGGAGCATCCCTAGAGATGCCCAGCCTGAAGAGTCTGGTGGGCAGGGAGGTGCTCAGAAACGATCATTTCTTGACTGTATTAAGTTGATGTTAAAATGCATAGTATTTTATAATGGTTTTAGATGTAGTTTAAAATAAAAAGAATAAGCAAACAGTCTGTTTCCTTTCTTTAGAGTGTAATTCTAGCTCTGTGTCCTCAGGTATAGAAACAGTAAGTTTGATCAGGTTGCTGTTATCTCTGCTCTGAAGATGTATCTTTGTTTTAGTATTAGCAGCCTAATTCAAGGACCGTCGGCTCACTCAGAAGACTCCATGTCAAAAGGAATCCATCTGGACCAGCGGCCGGAGGCAGAGGCTGGGACCCCGCACTGTGGTACAGGCCCACAGCTAGCTCAGGGTAAGAGTGAGTACACAAATCCCAACATTTAAGTTGTTGTAAACCCTCCCAGCTTCTGTTAAATATATAACACATAAACTCCCATCATGTGACCAGACTCTACACAAGGCGTTGAGGCTTCAGTGAGACCTGGACAGTTATTAGCATTTTACAGAATAGAGTCTGTGGCTGCTGAGATGGCTCAGTGATTAAGAGCTTGTCATTAAAGCCTGATGACCTGAGTCCAATCCTGGCTCGTAGAGTGAAGAGAGAGAAGTAACTCCCTGATGGTGGTCCTGTGGCCTTCATACACATACACACACACACACACACACACACACACAAAATAAATGTAATTTTTTAATTTAGAAGGAGGAGCTGGAGAGATGGTTCAATGGTTAAAAGCACTGACTCCCCTTTCAAAGGACCCAGGTTCTATTCCTAGCACCTAGATGACAGCCCCTTTCAGTAACTCTGTATCTAGGAATATGACACCCTCTTATGGCCTCCATGGCACTGCCTACATGTGGGATCACAGATGTACATGCAGGCAAAACACCCATACACAGAAAATAACATTTTTTTTAATAAAAGGGAGACTTGACAAACTTTTAAGTTACCATAAACAGTGCATTCTTCAAATGTCCCGGTTGTACCATTGAACATAACCCTGCCCCAGAAAATGCTCTTGGTGGGTAGACTGCACCAAACCAGATTGGGCTATGTGTGGAACACAGCCCGCGGAGAATTCCCGTGAGGACCAGAAGCCATCGGCGCCTTACATTCCGGTGCTTTCCTGGGTGTCATCTAGATGCTGCTGAGCACGCTTATGTCCCTTTCTCGGTTTTAGAGCCACCTCAGAATCATCAGGTGTCAAACCCATCAGCATGTATGTCAGAAGATGTGAAGCCCAAAACCCTGCCCCTGAATAAAAACCTTAATCATCAGCTAGAGTCTCCGGGTGAAAGACGGAAGTGAGTAGACAAATGGTGGATGTGGGCTTCTTTTTTTTTTTTTTATTGTATTTGACTTGGATGGGGAGCAGTGTTCGATGACAGGATGTCAGCAGCCTTTCTGTGCTTTGTCTCCATTTAATCCCACTTTAGCGTAATTGGTGCTTGAGAGTTTAAAACCGTTTCTCGCAGTGAGCCTTCCCAGTAATGTTATGCAGTTGATAATCCTATTTTCAGGTGAAGAGTTGAGGGGAGTTACATATCCTTGCCCCCAGAATTTGGCTGGTTATGTTTTAGAGGAATTTGCAGAGGACTCAGAACTTCACAACCAGACCGTGGTTAAGCCGCGCATCGCACTTGGAAGGTCCTAGCGTTCATTACTTTAGCCAGTCATTCCTCTTGGATCCGGACGGTGTGGGTTCAGAGTCTGTCTGCCTCATACCGACACAGAGCCTTGAGGATGTGTCTTAGTTTTTACCGCCCTAGTTTCCTCATTATCGAGTTGGAATGAGACTGGTATCTTCCTCAGATTTCCATGTCTGGAAATAACCAGCACCGTGGGTGTGGGTCATCAGCAGGCCCTGTTAGCTTCTCTTCCTTCTCCACACGATGTTAAACCACCACCCTTCTCTCCGAATCCTCCAGTTTTCATGGCTGGGTATCTGTGGCCCCAGGATCAACAGGAGCTCAGGTCACCTAGATGCAGTCACTCCCAATGGTTACTGCGTGGCTTTCAGCCTTTTTTTTCAAGCCATGGCCGTTACACTTTGAAAATGTGACCTTTGGAGGATACAGGTGCCATCTGAGGTGGGGGGCGCAGAAGCAAGCAGGGCCTCAAGGGATCTCACAGTCAAGCAGCCAGAGACAGAGGGGTTTCGTCCTCTGTGTTCCTGTTTTCCTTTCCTTGTCCTTTTCTGTGCCCTGACTAGTTTTTCACACACAATATTAACTGTTCCATACTGACAACCTGTTCCCACACAGGGCTCCCAAGCAGCACCTGCCCTTATGTGACATGCTGGCATCATCAAATTAGGGCCTTCTGATTTCTTATGACCGAATGAGTATTAAACAGTCTCAACGCCACCTTTCATTGCGGGCATCTAAGGCAGAAGCCACGGCACTAAAAGTCCCTTCCTCTAAGATCTGCCCTGTTTGTTTGAGTGGCCACGTGACCCTAGCTGCATGCTATCTTTTAATTTTATGGTCTTTACCATAAATCGACTTTTTAAAAAATCATCTCCCTGAACTTCTGGGCTGCCCTTAAGAATTTCTTCCTGTGTTTTTATTCATCTTTCAGTCCCACTAAGCCTGTTGTTTTCGTAGGAAATGCAGCGTGCAACAACAGCTTGTTCAACAGCTTAAATAACAGCCCCGTGATTAAAATAAAGGAGAATTCACCATATTCTCCTTTCTAAGCAGCGGTGTCAGTGTGATTTCCATTTTACACACCTGTGCATTCCTTCTAGAAGTAATATTTGCTAATTTCTCTCCCATTCCCAACCCGCACTTGTGAGACTGAGCCAGAAGGAAGACCAAACTTCAGGCCCACCTAGGCACCTTAGTGAGACCTTACCTCAAAACACATCAAGCCAAGATGCCAGTAGGAGACTCCTCTGTGGTCCTTTTGTTTTAGTTTGAAGCTGAAATGTCTTTTATTGTGGCTTCTGTTAACTTTCCATAACTGTGGGCTCCTTTGCCGTGTTACAGGAAAAGTCCTCGAGAGAACTTCTGGGCTGGGCCCCTGTCCCCCTGTTCTCCTACCCCTCCCGGCCAGTCACCAAACAGGTATAAGAGGTCAGCGAGCCTTTCAGAGGCTGTTTTGTGGTCCAGCACCTACGGGCATGACTCTGGGCAGATTAGTGCTTGCCGAATGATTCTGAGAGCCTTGTCATCCACATCCCTCCTCCAACCACATGCACAGAGGGGGAGGAGTCAGGAAAGCATCTCCATCTGCCTGCGGATTCATCAGCATGGGGTAGAAAAAGTAAGATATGTGGTGCTGGCCGTGGCCATTGGGTTTTAATGGCATTGTGTGGAGCGTGCAATCTAATAATAAGGTCCCCCCGACAGTTGCTGGGCTCCTACAGCCGTGCCTCCACCTCCAGGATGAAAACCCTCGGAGGGCAGTGGGCTGCTGGCTCCTCTAGAGAAATGGAGAGCTGGGAAACAAACCTTCATCCTCTTCCATCCCTCCCTAGATCTGACAGTGGCTCTGGGCAATAGCTGGTCCCCATGATATCTTTAAAGGTGCCCAGCTATCTGTCTGTCCCAGGCATGAATGACTAAGGACTAAGTGGCTTTCACTGATAGAGAATTTTCTTTCCATGGTGAGGTAGAGGTACATCTAGGGTTTGATGAGGCCAGGTCTTTGAGGAGACCTCTCGCTGTCTGCCCTTCTGGTTCTCTGTCCCTTTGGACCACTGTGACTTTCAGATGACAATACTGGTGAATTTCTCCCAGGGCTTTGCAGCAGAAGGCATCATTGGAAAACTGCCATAAGGGGACAGCCCTGTGGTGGCAGGTGGGCCATTGACCCTGCCCTTTCACCTGCTGAGTTTATGTCGGTCTGTGGGTGGACAGTATCCAGGGCTGTAGGTGGATGAAGGAAGGTGGGTTCAATCCCAGGAGTTTACAATATAGACAGAAAGCAAGTACCGTTCCAGCAGACAGTGTTTGTTCTGGAAGACACAGTAGAGATATGCTGGCCAACCCCAGGAGAGCCCTTGGTGGCACACAGGGAAGTCAAGGAGAGGCAGAGACCCTATCTCTGAGGTTTCCCACGGCACCTTCCCTCCTCCATTACAATGGACTGGAAATGCACTGGAAACTGCTAAAGCCACATTGGAACCTTAATAAAAGTAACTCTGAGTGTCTCATTAAAACTTCTGTAAACATATGATACACATATTAAATCATCTCAAGATGCTCAGACACAGCGGACTCAGCACCACGGGGAGGCCCATCACCTTCAGCTCAGGCCTTGCTGGCAGCATATGGCTCTGCATAATTCCAAATTCATTGTCAGTTTGTGATCCTCACATTATTCATGGTTGAAGCATTTTGTAAACTCCACGTGTCCATCTTTGCATGAGGTTGCTTGTTGTGTGAGCCAAGGTTCTCACTGTGCCTTTTTCTGACTCAGGTCTATTAGCGGGAAGAAGCTCTGCTCCTCCTGTGGGCTCGCTCTGGGTAAAGGAGCCGCGATGATCATCGAGACCCTGAATCTCTACTTTCACATCCAGTGTTTCAGAGTATGTACATACACAGCCCTCTCCTCTCGGAGCCGATGTCAGGGTCTAGATCTTTTCCTGTACTAATAAATCCTTCCTGTAACCTTGCAACCTCTCTCTGTGTGATATAGACAGATGTGAGGGTCAGGTCCAGGTATAGACAGATGTGAGGGTCAGGTCCAGGTATAGACAGATGCGAGGGTCAGGTCCAGGTATAGAAGGATGTGAGGGTCAGGTCCAGGTATAGACAGATGCGAGGGTCACGTCCAGGTATAGACAGATGCGAGGGTCAGGTCCAGGTATAGACAGATGTGAGGGTCAGCTCCCCAACCTTGAGTCCCTCTGGGAAGTGAAATCCTTCTAGAAGAAAAAAAATAGGTCTGTGCAATTTGTCTTTCCACACTTTAGTGGCTAACACAGACATCCCAAAGGGATGTCCAGAATGAAACCCTGGGAGACAGTGGACCTTCTGAGTCTTTTGGACCCTAAGGATTTATTTGAAATATCTTAACTTTTAGGATTTCGTGTGACAGGGTTTTAGGTGTTGCCCTAACGGAATACTCTCTGCCCGGTAAGTGGTAGTGGCTAGCTGTAAGATTTCAATATTCAGAGAGACAGTGTCCCCATGACCTCAGATGGGGACTCCCTCTGCAAAGCTCTGTATGAAGTCTGTTGATCTGTTGTTGTTGTTTCTGGTGTGTTGTGTTTTGTTTGAAACAAGGTCTCATTGTATAGCCTAGGCTGGCCTTAAACCACTCACAGGCCTTCTGCCTTCGCCTCCCTAGTGCTGAGATTAGGAGCACGCCCCGCCACACACAGCCAGGCAGTGGCCTTTGCTGAAGAGCCTCGGTAGCCACTTAGTCCTTAATGCTCGTTATGCTGTGTTAGTTACTAGCTTCTTAACAAACAGTGAACTCCATAAGAGTAACAGCTCTGGGGCTGGAGAGATGGCTCAGTGGTTTAGAGCATTGCCTGCTCTTCCAAAGGTCCTGAGTTCAATTCCCAGCAACCACATGGTGGCTCACAACCAACTGTAATGAGGTCTGGTGCCCTCTTCTGGCCTGCAGACATACACACAGACAGACTATTGTATACATAATAAATAAATAAATATTAAAAAAAAAGAGTAACAGCTCTGTCTTCCTCAATCGCCACTGTTTTCCTCTGTATTAAAGGAAGAAGTATCAATAAATCCTTTAGATGGACTAGTGTGGTGCCCATGAGGAGCCTAGCTTCTGAGACCAGGTCTCCTGTAACATGATGGGGGAAGGGGGACTGTTCTACTTGGTTTGCTGTCAGAAAAATGAATTGTACTTACCAGCACCTCTTTCTACTCTCCCAGCCTCTCTTTCTACTCATGGGCACCTTTCAAGTGAATAGAATTGATTTCAAAGCCACGCCTTCGGCCTCTGAATTTGAGTCGCTGTTTTCTCTACATGATGCTAATACATTTTCTTTCTCTATCTGGATTTCATCCTCTTTCTCATTGGTAGCGTCCCATCAGCTTGTATGGGATTAAAACAACTCCCTTTGTCCCTGGTATAAGAAATAATCAGTGAGGTTCACACGTAACAAGACACAGCGACATGCAGTCTCCATTCTTTGCTGACGCTGTCCCTGTGACCCAGCTAGTCTCAGAGCGGTGAGTCAGGGATGTGGCTGCGCCCTGTGCAAGGGGCTGACATCTGGACAGACCCCCCAGTGCCACCTTCTCTGTGTGCAAGTACCTCCTACTATCCACTTCTGCACTCACGCCTCTGGGCTAATGGGAGTTCCATACCCAGGGAATTTGTCATCCTGGGTCCGCCCCTCTAATGTGGAAATACACAGTGGATGTGTTCCTCAGTAATTCTCTGGTAGAATGTGCTGGAACGCCTAGATTAGTAGTAGTTAAGTTTCAGCTGATGCCTTTGGTTACGTGATTGTTTAAAATGGGCAGGGTGTAATATGTCGGAAATGGTCCTTCTGTCTCGACTGAGAAATTGTGCATTAGAACAGTTGAGCAGGCTCTCGGGTCCCTGCAGTGCTGTGTGCCAGCTTCACAACCCCGGGGCAAACCAGTTAGTATCTCAACCTGTGGCCTCCTCTGTAAAATACAGGAGTTACGATAAAATGGCAAAAATATATTTTACTTTTTGCCCTACACTGGCTGATGGTGCCATAGCTAACCCAGTAGATACTCAGCGAACATGGAGACGGTGGGTGGAATTATCCCTACATGCCTCACTTAAGCAGTGTCTTAGCCATGGTTCTAGTGCTGTGAGACGCCATGGGCACGGCAACCCTTAGAAAAGAAAGCCTTTCAATTGGGGCTCTCTACTCTAGAGGACAGGAGAGTCCATGACCATTGTGGCAGGAAGCAGACAGGCGTGGAGCTGGGTAGCAGCTAGGAGCTTTCCCTCTTGAACCACAGGCTGCAGGCGGAGTGAGACACTCAAAGCCCAGCCCCCAGTGACACACCCACCTCCAACAAGGCCACGCCCCTAATCCTTCCCAAACAACCTAGGGGCTGACCCTACAAACATAGGAGCCCGTGGGGCCATTCTCATTCAAACCGCCTCAGACGTCAGCAGCACGTTCCAGACACAATCCCCTGTTGGTGTTATAACTTCTGTCCCTTCTCTCCTGCAGTGTGGCATTTGTAAAGGACAGCTCGGAGACACAGTGAGTGGGACGGATGTGAGGATTCGCAACGGCCTCCTAAACTGTACTGACTGCTACATGCGATCCAGAAGTGAGTACGGAGAGACTGTCTCCCCCACTCACCCTTCTCGTGTGCGATTCCGTTATTTTCTGCCTCCAGCTGGCACTCCTACCCCTGGGAAGAGGATTGTTAGGATGGAGGTCAAAGGAACTGAGAGGCCAGGAAGCAGATGCTCCTTGCAGGATGTTCCTGCTGGGGGAGCAAATGAGCCTTACCCAGAAGTGTGCCAGAACACAGACAGGTACCACTGTAGGTAGGGTTTGAGAGACCCGCCTGAGCTCACTGCAGGGACCCTGCTGAGGCACAAGAAAGGTTAGGGTCTGCAGCGCCGTCTCTTGGTCCAGCCTGTCTGCAGAGGCCAGCAGCTGCTGGAAGCCATGGAATGCAGAGTGTTAGATAGGTGAGTGCCCAGGCTGCAGTGGCAGAGCCCTTCAGGAGTTTCATTACAGAACACGGTTTTGTTCTTAAGCAAACTTAGAGGTTCATTGAAAGACAGAACGATGACTCCTGCTTCTCTGACCCCGCCCGCTTCCATATCTTTGCTTACAATAAGCTTTTAAAAACTTGCTGGCTGTGGGGACTTGGTAAGTTTCTGAATCAAGAAAGTGCGTGTTTTACTTGGAGCCACCAGGGGGCGATGCTGTCTAGCTGTTCAGACAGTTGGAAACCGGCTGGCGGTTCTCCTTAAATGGAGACCAGAACAACAGAAGATCTTTCAACGTAAATTTAAGTTACACTGAAGAAATGGCATCCGAAATTCAAAAATATTTTTTTGTCAAAGTAAGTGAAGAATTATATCACTGGCTTCTAGATTGGAGAATAAGATTAAATTGCTTTCATTTTATAGATACAGATTGAGTGCTTTAGGGAATACAGGGGAGTATGTGCTTGTTAATAAAATGAGGAGCTAGGCGGTGATGGTGCAACCCTTTATTCCCAGCACTTGGGAGGCAGAAGCAGGTGGATCTCAGTGAGCTCGAGGCCAGCCTGGTCTATCAAGTGAGTTCCAGGACAGCCAGGGCCACACAGAGAAACCTTGTTTTGAAAATAAATGAATGAATGAATGAATGAATGAATGAATGAATGAATAATAAAAAACACAAGTGAAGTGAGGCAAGATCCAATGCAGGTTGTTTGGGTCTGTGAGAAACCTTGAAATCACACAGCTCCAGCTTCAGTCCCAGAAGGGGGCACTGTTGGAATGAGCGACAGTTGAGGCAGCACCGCGGATCTGAATTTCTTTTGTAACTTAGCATGCTCTAAAGATGCCAGCAAGCCTGAACCTGCCTCTGGGTGGCAGTGACTGTTTTTCATCCAGACTTCTCTGGTTGGGGTGGTGTGTTGTCACATCCTTTGAAATTAGGCTGGGAACTTGGGTTACACATGCAAATACAAAGGGCATTAACTGTTTTTAATTCTCACTAAAGATAAGAGCCAGAGAAGTCCTAAGCAGTTTCTGTAATAAGAAAGCTATTTGAAGGTAGACTACACATGAGATAATTTTCTATTTATGATAGGTTTTTCCCCTTTTATTAGCTCATATTCATTGTACCAAATGCTGGGTTTTTTTTTAAATGCCATTTTCATATGTGTGGATTCTGTATGTTCATCATCTTCATACACACAAGAGACAGAGAGAGAAAGAGAGAGAGAGAGAGAGAGTGTTATCCTAAAGTCTCGTTCAGTTTGTACGTGTGTGATTCTCAGGAATGTATTTGAGATAAAAATTGGACAGCAGTGAGGTAATTTTGCCGATTATGTGGGTGCTACTTAATGGTCATTTTCCTCTGACTAATAGGAAGCGCTGGCTTTCTCATGGGTTCTGTGTGTTTGAGTCTGCTTCTGGATGTGATTATACTTATAATGTGCTTATTTTCCATTGCCAAGTAGTTTTAATTGTTGTAGCTTCATAATATGTTTTAAGGTCGGCTAGTAATAGTCACACACATTCCAGTTTCTTTCCTTTTTCCCCCCAAAACTTTCTGAACTCTTTGCCATGATTGTTTTTTCAGACAAATGTTTGTATCATTTTAGGCTAATTTTAATTAAGTGAACACATAACAAGGAGAATGACCAGGGTATTGGGGGAGGGGGAGGGAAAGGGGATGCGGCTGGAGGGAAGAGACAGAAATCTTTAATAAATAAATAAATAAATAAATAAATAAATAAATAAATAAAATAAAAAAGAGCCTCTCTCTGTCTCTGTCTCTCTGTCTCTGTCTCTCTCTCTCCGTCTCTCTATCTGTCTCTCTCTCTGTCTCTGTCTCTCTGTCTCTGTGTGTGTGTGTGTGTGTGTGTCTCTCTCTCTGCCTCTCTCTCTATCTGTCTCTCTCTCCTCTCTCTCTCTGTCTTAAATAAACGTACTCAGGAATGATGTAGTTGGCAGGGTAGGAATTATTTAGCTGGAGAACTATAAATAAACTTGACAGGTTGACGGTGTCCCCAGATGTAAGTGGCAGTGGAGGAAGGTGGCTGGCAGCGGTTTTTCTTCTTTTTTAAAATACTGCTTTGAATTGAGAAGAAGGGAGATGGATTGATGGGAAGTACGGTGTGCGTTAGAGGCATTCCAGAGAGGCAGAGACCACTTCATTCTGTGGCATGAAAAAACCTGACTGTTTAATCCTGTTCCCTCCGAGTAACTAGTCACATGTAAATGAACTTTTTTCCCCGTTGGAGGGAAAATGGCATAAAGCATATTCAAATGCGGTTCCTAAGAGCCACATAAGGAGTTTTTAAGTCCGTATGTAAATGGGAATGGAAGTACAAAGCAAATTAGCCGTCATGATTGAAGCCCTCGCATGTTTAACTGGTGCCATTTGTGCGTGTGCCCTGGATGGCCGCTGTGCGTGGCATTCTGTTCCAGCATTCACTCCGGTGAGGTAAATGCACTTAGCACTAACTCCCCCGGGTCTTCTCCAGTGTGTTCACCTCATCGTGACTGGTGTGCCTAAAATGAAGAAGAAACCTTGTGGAAGCTTCAACAAGAACTTGAAATTTAACCTTTCCTGGAGTGCATGACCAGAACAAATACAAGGATACTCAATGAAGTGTTTGAAATTTGAATTTCACATAAAGCCATGATTTTTTGTTGTTGTTTTGGGATTGACGGGAGGAGGGTATATGTTTGTTTCTTTCTTCTTCTTTTTTTTTTTTTTGGTATGTGTGTTTGCAATTTCAAATACATTTGGGAAGCTAGGGGTGGTGACCTTGGTTGTCATTCTTTAGATGTTGTCCACTCTGTGCCTATCTGTCTATCTGTCTGAGCCTGAAACTCAAGTTGACTAGGCTGCCTGGCCAGCAAGCCCCAGGAATCTAGTGGTCCCAGCCTCTCCAGTCCTGAATTACAAGTTTGTGCCATTGTCAAAAGCTTATGGCCCTGTATTCTCAGGATCCGATTGTGCTATCTCCTGTGCCCATTCTGTATGGTGGGTGGCGGCGATTGGATTGGCTTGGGTTGAGATAGTCAGAGTCACAGCCGAGCATAGATTGACCTCAGCGTCACTGTATAACTAAGACCTGACATGGACTTCCCTTCTCCTGTGCTGAGATGCCAGGCATGCACGGGCACACCCAGCTAAACAAATAGCTTTTCACATTTGCGATTTTCTCATTATATATGTTCCAAATAGTGCATGATCCAGATTTAGCACAAGTGTGTCCCAGATATCACATGGGATATACTTACATGTTTAAAGTGTGTATTTATCTGGAAGTCAGATTTATTAGGTGTTCTGTATTTTACCTGTTCAATCTAGAATCTAGCAATCTGGTTTTTTAAGATCAATTAGATTCCTCCAATTTCAGGGGACTGATTCTTTGACCTAAGGCCTCAAGAGAAATTTAAAAAAAAAAACAAAAAACTTCTTGCTTGTAGACAAATTAGAAAGCTTGATGGGGGTAGGCAAGGTCATTTGGTTTCGAGGAAATCTGGAGTCCTTATGCCAGGCGTGAAGCATAGACACCACCCTCACACCTGGCTGTGGGGTCTGAGGCGCTCCCAACCCTGTATTCTAACAAAGTCCCGAGTGATGCCACATGTCATGCCTAGAGGTGATGCTGAAGGCAATGAGGTGGACCATGACTCCCCTTCCTGTGGAAAGATGGCATAGCACCAAGGTGGGCCACGACTCCTTTCCTGCGGAAGGAGAGTGTAGCACCAAGGTGGGTTATGACCCCCTTTCCTTTGGAAGGAGAGCATAGAAGTAAGGTGGGCTACAACTCCCCTTCCCATTGGCAAGGGTAACCGCTAACCTGAGGGTTTTGAAGCATGCGGAATGAGACTCGTTGACTAAGCCAAGGTTCTGGTTTTCTCACCACAGGTGCCGGCCAACCTACAACACTGTGACAGGGATGAGCGCTTCTGGATCTCCGAGCATTTCTTTATTAAGGGTGTCCCTTGGCAATGGCTTAATTAAACCCCAAGTTCAGGAGCTTCTCAGCATTCATATAATTCTGGAAGACTCTTCTACAAGGTGGTATCTGCTCTTTTGTATTGTAGCACAGTGTGCTTTTTCTGGTTGGGGGCTGATTTTTTTTTTTTTGCATTTGCACAGTATATACAAAAGAATATTGCATTGTAATGATTCTGAACAGTTAACTGGGGGGGGGGGGAAGACAAATGGTTTCAGCACGAGCAGAAAGGCTTATGGTTGAGGAGGTGTTGTTCTCTTCTTTGGGGAATAGCTGTTATTCTCTTCTTTGGAAAATAGCAAAAGGGTGCAATAAACCTGTTGTGTTTTAGTATTTCTAGAAATTAAACAAGTTATGTTTACAGAATTGAGCTGCAGAAAGTGCAAGACATGCCAACTTAAGACAGGAGCATAAAGTGAATGCATTTCAGAAAATCTAGACACCCCAGAAAGCTCTGACTCAGAACTATAACTTGTTTTTTTAATGCAAAGACAGTAGTCTGATAATATATACTGTACTCCTGAAAACATTTGTGTTACTTACCTTTGGGGGGGGACAGAAGTCCTACCAATAAATTATCACACTGTTAGTATTAGATTTTATGTAACCTGGACGTCATGTCATTAATATAGGCTGATCCCCCCCAAATGAAGAAAGCCCTTGCAGTATCACTAGACTTCCACTCTGTGGTGTTGTGCAAGGGTAGGGAGGAAACTGGCCAGCTATTATCTTCAAACTTACTATAAAATCCATGAGGAAGTGTCATCTGTCTGGACGGTGTTTCAGTGGGCCACCTGCTTTCTCCAAGCACTGGGTTAGGGGTTGTTGAGTGGCTTGATGTGAGAATGTTGGTGTTAGGCACCAAGGACAGTCTGTCTTTAGGGGTGAGTACATCTCATCTTTTGCCTACAAGTTTTCCTTGGGAGCAGAAGCCCAGATACCCAGAGAGAAGCATTAAGTCCATCCTCACAGACCCCGGATGGCATGATGAGACAAGCCCACAACTGGTCTGTATGGGCAGCCGCCCAAGGCAGATGGTGCCCTGCCCACCCCCATGGATCTGTGTGCACCTTCCTTCTCCCACACGGCCTTCTTGACTCTCAAGAATTCTGCACCTGACCCATGGAGTTCTGAAAGAGGCGCCTGCGGAGACCTGGTTTGTTCTCTGCCCCCTGTGAGGAGTTCCAGCTGGACATGGCAGGAAAGAAGCGGCTAAACCAGCACGACTTGGCTCTCCAGGCTAAGGACTGGGCAAAGGGGAACTATTTATTCTGCCTTAAAAGGATGGCAACTGAGTAAAGACAACGACGTTAGGCGGATGTAGACCGTGGATACACTCCTAGTAGGCTAATGTAGCATAGTGAGAGCGCAAGTAAATGTTTTTCTGTTATGTAAGCAATAATTTTTCTGTGTCTTACGGAGTATGGCTAGCAGTTATTTATTTCTGTGCTAGACGGTTCTTTGCATGTGGGTTCCCTATAGGTGCAGGCATCTCCTGGCCACTGGAGGCATATTGGCCACTTTGCCATTTGGACGAGTTGCTATTGGACTGAAATTCACACATCATTTCATTAAAAATTGTGCCTTAGAAAATGCAAAGCTGTTGCACATGGTGGTGGGTGGCAGATTCAGAACACCGGAGGGAAATGACGTCACTTCCCAGGTCTCACGACTTCTCTCAGAGGTGTCCGCTGCTTTACAAGAAAAAAATAAATAAATAAATAAATAAATAAAGATTTTAAAAGACAAATAAAAAAGGAAAAAAATTAAAAAGAAAAAAGAAAAAGTTTTGAAAATGTACAGATCAAGTCCAATATTTTGATGAAGCACCTGCATGTTTTATTAACTATTTTAATAACGTGGATGTTTACACTTTGCATGATATTAACAGAGTACCTTACGAGAAGCGATGCACAGAACATGTACGATACGGTCATTGGTAAGCGACTTTTGTAGAATACTTTTTACATGTGTGAGGCCATCCATTATGTCAGGATCCCACGAGTGCTGCACACTCTCCTGGTTTCACAAAGCCATGTATACATACTTCCTAGCGGGACGCGTTGTCCGTGCGTTGCAGCTCGACTGGAGTCAAGAGGAATAAAGTGCTTTGCCGTCATGAACACTAGTCACCAGCCTGGAATAATCTCCAGCATTCTCTAAATTCTAATTGCCAACCGTTTCTATTTCTATTTGATTTCGATTTCATTTAGTGCCGGTCACGGCAGCTTCGGCAGAGTAGCTCTCCTTGTTTGCCAGTGCAGCGTAGAAGACTATGATCTATTCCTCTTCAAATAATCTTTGAGATCCCAGGGGGGGAAAAATGTACTCTGTTGTGTGAAGCTATGATGTCAATGTGTTTGTTTAGAAACCGGCAAGGCAAGCGAGTGATTTATTGTTCCTGGGGGAACTGTGGCTGTTCTCCCCCTCAGACCCCCACATGCTTCCCTCCAGAGGACAAAAAACGGTGACTCTGTTTCTCACTAGCAAACTCTCATGACCTTTGTCCTCCTTTCTGTGTAGTGTTCATTAACATGATGCAGATTCTAGTTACCTGTAGGCGGTGTCAGATTCAGCGAGCTGAAACGATCCACCTTCGATGTGAGTCCACCCAGAAGATGTTCCTTTCTGGGCGGGCGGAGTCCTGTATCAACTACACTAACTTTTCATTTACAATATTTATTCTAAAATGCCTCTGAGAAATAGTTTAAAAAATTAAAAATGAAAAGTTGTCTAAAAATGCAACAGCTTTTATAGTGAATGTACATTTATAAATAAAATACTCAAATCCACTTGGTGTTGCTTTTATTGTTTCTGGAGGGGTGGGGTAATTGAGAGTCTTGGCTCTTGGCTCAGGGCTGTGTAGTCTGATGACGTCAGAGCTGTGCATCCAAGGTCGTCTGTTGATGAAAAACCAGAGCTACCAGCTGGTGGAAGGGGTTGCTGTGGGATTGCCTCACAAGGGAAGGATATTTACTCCTTGAAATAGACACAATGACCAGGATAGATCATGCAGGTGCCTGTGGAAGCTTCCAGAAGAAAACAGGTAATGATCAATGGAACAGCACTAACCCACTGAAGTCAGTGTACACCACCCCTTGGCCCCCACTGCCTCCGTGTTCTCCACGCACTGGACACACACTTGGCCTCACTCAGGACTTGGAGACTGGACCAGAGAAGATGCTCTGAGACGGCGACACCCTTCTGGCACTGTCCCCACTTCCTAAAGCTCTCGTGTACTTTGCCTTACACTCCATCCCATGTTTGCAGGGAGTGGGAACAGCAAGCAAATCCCTTGACACTTTCAAATGCTTTAGGGAGCAGATTTCTACCTGCTGTGGCTGCTTGCATGCGGTTCCGCTTTTTGTATTGTTTGGCGGCAGTTAGTTGTTGCTGCCATTCCCATGAGAAGAAGGATGTCCTTAGTTACCAGAGTAAAGATACAACTGTCAGGGCTGGAAAGGTGGCTCCGCAATTAAGAGCAGGCACTGCTGTGGCAGAGAACCTAAGTTCGCTTCCCAGCAGCCATGTCAGACAGCTCAGAGCACTCCAACTCCAGTGCTCGGTTCTGTGATCCAGTGCCATCTTCTGGCGTCTGCAAGCACCCACACCCTTACACACGTACCTACACAGATGCATGCATGCACACACATGTGCACATATGCCTTACACACACAAAATAAGTAAATGTTTAAGGAAAAGTTTTTCAACCTAAAATTATGGAACTAAAAATGATTACATATATGTATATCTAATTTTATACACTACATAGGGTCTGTGTACAGACACCGAACTTTCTTCTCAAGAAATCAGATGGCAATCTAGAACTGTCTTCTTTTTGCTCTAATGGCTGCTACTAACTTGCTGTGATATGAATAATTTATCGACAATATCATACCAATTACCTACATTTCAGGGTGTTTGGGTCGTGCAGAGAAAGCTAACGGGCTCCTGCATTGCCGGGCCACAATGCTGAGACTTTGGGATAGCCTCCTGGCGTGTCCTTCCAGGGCTTGCTGCTGTCTGTGAGGTCCTGATTAACTGCAGATAGTTTCATATTTGATTGTAACTGACTTCAAGGGACTTGAGAAACAAACAAGATTGGTTTTTTTTTTCCTTTCCTAAATCTGTTTAGCATTATTTCAACAGCTGTACTGTTTCGAGCAGCGTTTTATTTCTAAGATAGCATTTCTGCTATGTTCCAAGATAGCTGTATGTCTCCCCATGTTTTATAGGTTAGAAACTGGGTCTAAGATGTGTCTCAGGTGAGTGGATTCAGGTGGGATGGGGAAAAGGTAGGAGGAGGAGGAGAGGAGGGAGGGGGAACTGGGATTGATACGTAAAATATAAAAGATCATTTAAAAATTAAACATGAAAAAAAGTGAAGAAAATGTGTTTTAGGAAACTCCTATCTTTTACAGAATTGTATATTTCACCAACTTCCCCAATCAAGGTTGACCAGGATAAGTTCCTGTTCAGCTGTTCCAGAGTCTCAGGATCTGGGGTGCCGCTTGCGAGCCAGGAGGAGGGCCCCCGAGCATCGCTAGAACTGGTGGGATTTCATCTGCACCCAGGTGCAAGAACACAGGGAAGGGAGGGCGTGGTTCTCGTGCGTGCACCCATGCATGCCTTTTTGAGCCAGTCTTTCCATGCAGACCAGGCTGGCCTCAAGCTTAGGATCCCTCTGCCTCAGCCCCCCGAGTGCTGGGATTGAAGGTGTGCTCACCCGCGGCACACTTGTCCGACAGTGAATTCACACTAACACGTATTCCGATGGACTCGGCATCCCAGGCGTTCCTTCGTCTTGGGATTTCTATGGCTGTGATAAAACACTATGTCAAACAACTTGGCAAGGAGGGGATTTGTTTCAGTTTACAGTTCCACATCACAGTCTGGCATTGAAGGAAATCGGGAGAAACTTCATCAAGGAAGAAAAATCACTGAAGGAAGTCAAGGCAGGAACTGAAGCAGAGGCTGTGGAGGAGTGTTCCTGGCTTCTTTAACCTGCTTTTTAATGCCATCCAGGACCACCTGTCCAGGGTTGCTACCACCTACAGCAGGTTCGGTCCTTCCACATCAACCACTAATTCAAAAATGCCTACAGACTTTCATACAGGTCAATCTCCTGGAGGCATTTTCTCAGCTAAATATCCCTTCTCAGATTTGTCTAGGTGTGTGTAAAGTTGGCAAAAGTCAATTAGCAAACCCCTTAAGGCTAGATATTCTTACTCCAGGTTTGAGGGGAACAGCTCTGCTTACGGCAGGCTTCATTTCAGCTCCATGGGTGTTTGCCACACAAAGGCTGGGCCATGATAGCGTCGTCTCCAACCAGAATTCCAATACAGGCTTTCCCAACACACACCACCTCTGAACTTCCCTCCCCCCTCCACGAGTTTGAAATCACCAGCCCCAAGATGTCCAGCCCCACCTTTGCTCCCTAGCTGGCCCTCTGCTTTCTCAGTTCAACAGCAGCCAAGGCTAGCAGGACAAGGACTCCAAAAGTCCCAACCTTACTTCTTGTTCTCAGTGCTCTTGGATGGAAGATTGCTGGTCGTGGCGTAATGACACTGTGGGTAAAGCTGGTGTTTCTTAGCATCTCCCGGACAGATGATTGTTTCAACGTGCTTTGTGGGTGTATAACATGTTGGCGGAGAAACAGTTGTCAGAACAAGCCCTCAGAGGCTCCTATGGACATGCAACTGTCTTTGGAGCCCATGGCTGTAGACGGGGGAGTATCACCGGAGGGCAGGGCTTGAAGCTCAGTCTGAGCACCTTGGCAAGACCCTGGCTGAAACGGGGAGAGAGAGCCCGTCATGCAGAACACCGCACTTGCGCTCTGTACAGATACTGAATCAGTTACCACCCATGCTCCGGTCTGTGAGCAGTCGGCTGTACCTCCTGACCCTGAACAAAAGTAATCATAAGTGATCCTGCTTTCCAACACCAAGAATCCGGAAGCTTAGTCTTGTCTGTGGTACAGCACTCTAGGAACCAAATGGAGTGCTTGGTAACAGAAGGAATGCCTCTCCTGATACGGTCCATAAACGTTCGACAAAATGGGGTTGGGGGAGAGATGATCTTACTGAAGAGTAAAGTAGCTAAGAAAATAACAGTAGACAGAATATGGATGGGGAGGCATTGCCAAACTAACTATATTTAATGTGGTAAAGAATAAAGGTCAGAGACACCCAGATAAGCAGCACTTTGGAGTACTATAATCTTCATGAATCAGTGCTACACAAGGAATAGTTGATTAATGTCATCTCTTCTACAATAATATCAACTCCGCATGGGTCAATCCTCAAATGCTTTTTTTAAAATCAAAATAAGAATGAAAGGTTTAAATATGTTTAAACACAAACTTTGGAGAAACTTAAGTAAACTCTTAAAACTAATAATAAACTAGAGGAATATATTTCCAGTAAATATGACAGAAGATCGCTATCAGTAATACGGAGACATAAGTTTAATTTTTGAAAGTCTCATAAATACAAATGGGCAAGAGACATAAAAACAATCCTTGGCGTTTTTAGTGACCAAAAAAGTAACAGTTAAGGGGCTAGGGAGACGGCTCCGCATTAAAAGCACTGGCTGCTCTTGCAGAGACCTGAATTTGGTTCCCACCATACACACAGTGGTGTTTAGCTGTCTGTGACTCCAGTTCCAGAGGATCCAACACTCTCATCTGGCTTCTGGGGGCACCAGCCATGCAAGGGGCGAACAGACATGCATACAGGTAAAACACACACATAGAAATAAATATTCTTTAAACAGTTAAGACAAAATCTCCCCAAATAGGGAATCATTTTACTCAATTAAGAACTTACATATTGCACAATGAAAGCAGAAAACAAAGGTGGCAAACAAGATATTTGTTGCACATAGAATTAGCAAAAATTTTGAATAAAACATATCAAGAATTCTAATATAACAAATATAAAGAAGCTTAAAATATCCATTAAAGCATAAACCATTAATCAAAAAAGACTGAAGACTGGGTGTTTCATAGAAAATATGAATCATGGCCAGATGGTGGTGGAGCACGCCTTTAATCCCAGCACTTGGGAGGCAGAGGCAGGTGGATGTCTGTGAGTCTGAGGCCAGCCTGGTCTACAAAGCAAGTTCCAGGACAGCCAGGGCTACACAGAGAAACCCTGTCCTGAAAAACGAAAACAAAATATGAATCACAGAACAGACACACTTACTTGGTTGCTAGGAAGGAAATGCAAATTATAACCAGTAGAAGATTCATTTTATTCCTTTTTTTATTTTTTAATGGTGCTGGGCATTGAACCCCTGGCTCTGAGCATGGCGGGCAACCACACTACTCCTGAGCCACATCGCCAACCACAATGCCATTTTATCCCTGTCAGACTGTGGAGAACTCAGGCTTTGTTGGAGCCAGAGGTGAATGAGGAACAAAAGAACAGAAGCTCACTGCTGATAAGAATGTGTATCGGCAGACAGTCATGGCAGAGCACACCTTCAATACCAGCACCCAGGAGGCCGAGGCAGGTGATTCTCCATGAGCTGAGGTCACAGAGTCCTAGGACATCCAGGGCTACATATTGAGACCCTGTCCATTTGATAGATAATCTGATGGCATTGATTGACACAAAGATTTCTCTCCTGGAGCCATGCCTAAGCCTACACTCAAGAGAAGCTTGAGTAGCAGCCAAACATGGTCCAAGACACATGGCCAATAATGTTCTCATAGCACACTACTTGCATATAATTATGAGGGAAAAAATAGGAACAGCAAGTGAAGATCAGATCACAGATATTCAGATGT